TTTTTTTTTTTTTTAATGAACCACTTTTTTGGTCGTTAGCAGGTTTACTGTCTGCAGCTTAGTATTAGACAGAAGCATGTCCATGTGCAGCCTTTCATTTCCACTCTAGTTATGAGTTGCGTATAACAGCTGTACACAACCATTGCCTCACTGGGTGTTGACATATCTGAACACACATTTTCATCCCCGCTTTGTTTTGACTCAAGCTCACTTGACATTAAACAGCGATGACTCAGCGTAACTTTTATCTATCAGTTTGTTCTTTGGAAACAGCTGCCATTATTGAGTTCAATTCAGTATTTGCTTTTTGAGGAGGCTTTCTCAGGTAAACACCCGTGGGCGGGGCTCTGAATGACCACTTTCCTCTACGCAGACGTTCAGCGTTCATGATCTGGGCTCTGCTATTAAAGCAAATCTTACAGCTGGTTCCAGTTAAATCTCCCTGTGAGGAGAAGGACGGTGCACATGCCAGAAAACAAACTAGCTCCAGTGGAGTCCGGTCCACTCGCTTCCAATTGATGTCATATTTTCACTGTTCCATTTCCACTTAAACTGTTTAGCAGCAGCAGGATGCTGGAGTGAGCTTGATTAATGTGAGGCAGATTTATTTAATTGTTTAATTCTGTAAACACAATGGGCGACTGATTCTGTCTCCATTTGTTGCTCTCTGCACATGTGCAGCAGGTAACTGGGTGAAAAGCTACATGTAGCGGAATAGCTGACAACCTGGCGACTGGAAGAAACTGAGCAATACAATTAAGAATTGAGTGCAACCATTGCTTACAACTTGTAAGAAAGTTGTAAGACTCTTTGCTGTCACTTTTTTGGGTGCAAAAATCCTCTTTTCAAACTTAAGTTTTTGTGATGCGCTGCTTGTAACAAAGTTCTTAAAGATACCAAGGAACTAAGATTTAAATTGTAAGTCGTCTGTGTAGATACAACATTGGTTGACTTGAGTAAGGCGCCTTTTTATACTTTAGTGAAATGGGTTAACAAACCCAAAACGAGCAGCATTCTTCTGAAAATGGTCAGGTACAAAGACTGGACTAAACTTGAGTGAAAAAGCAGCCAATGTCCAAAAAAAATCTTTGAAAGACCTCCACAAAATCTGGATAATTATTGCTCGAGACCCCTTTTAAAAACTGGCAGGAAAGTCTGAGGCCAACTGATGGCCATTTTATAATTGCACCAACAGCTGTCACCGTTTCACCAAGCTTCTGGCTGACTGATGGTCTTGCAGCCCAGTCCAGCCTTGCGCAGGGCTACAGTCTGGTCCCTGACGTCCTTTGACAGCTCTGTGCTCTTGCTCGTGATGGTGGCAGGTTGGAAATGAAGAATGTGTGGTTTATATTAGAGATGGCACGATACCACTTTTTTATGTCCGATACCGATATCATAAATTTGGATATCTGCCGATACCG